GAAATAGAACTATGAGCCCGTCAGCAGAACGGCAGTCTTTTATTATTCGACAATCCACTTCAAAGGAAATGATAGGGATCGTCCATTAATTATGTGAACAAAATGGGGGAGGGGGTTTGAAGAAGTTTCACAATAATTAACATGGGGACGGGGAATTCAAGATAAATTGACGTCAACAATTTTATATATATATATATATATATATATATATATATATATATATATATATATATATATATATATATATATATATATATATATATATATATATATATATATATATATATATATATATATATTACAATAAATTCAATAAATCAATAACACCAAATTAGTTGGCACGTTTGTATGGCACACGCTCGTCTGTCAACAGCCCACGAGTATAATTCTCAACCGGTTGAGGTCTTGCCAATGACGTCATAGTCTTGCATCATCATACTTTGTTTTTATTTAATGTAGATTGTAGACTGTAGATAAATTAACCACATGAAAACTCTTGTGGTTATTCATCTGACAGATTTATAAAAGAAGTTGTTACTAAATTAAAAGACTGCACTGATCCATATAAATCTAAATAGTATAGCTATTATGGGACTACTATCAAATAGCACCTATATTGTGCGCATAGATGATATATATATATATATATATATATATATATATATATATATATATATATATATATATATATATATATATATATATATATATATATATATATATATATATATATATATATATATATATATATAATTAATATATATCTGTATGTATGTATTGAAGTCCAAGAACTATCCCTCCAAGGATAGAATATAAAGTCTCGATTCTATCTCGAATTCAGTGTTATAGTATATTTGAAATCAGTTAAACAAGTAAAAAATGCATTAAAATTTATTTACAGACATTTCAATTTTGATAATTCTCTTTTTAGCATGAAAGATAGCCGTATACAATATTATTAGTTTGTAGGGGATGGAGGTAAATATTTTGACATAATTTTATTGTGGGGGTGTCACTGAATGTTTAACAGTTATTGACAAGGGAGAAGGGGTGTATGTAAAAAATTGCCTAAAATTGTTGACATAATGTAAGACCCCATAGTAAGCGTAACAAAAATTTGTGTTGTCCTAAATAAAACAATAATTATAAAAAATATGTCTGATTCCAGGTAAGTTTTGTTCTAATGGTGGAACATGCCTTAAATGTGAACTTTATTACGTTATCATCTGTCTTAAAAAGACAGATTTAAAATGTTGTGTAAACAAAAATGCTAAGAAACGATTTCATTTTTAAGCAACCGCATGCGTTCAGAGGCCAACATTTTAAAATTTAAAATTGCTACAAGCTATAATTTTCTGTAATAATTAAACATCATTTAAATAGTTTATTTGAAAAGTATTTTTTAATTTGGGGTTTGGTATATTCTAATGTCTTTAAATTTTGCACAATTGATGAGAGTATATCGACATATCAAGACAAGTTATACAGTGCCTAGAAAATTGCAGTAAGGTATATTCACTGAGACAGAAACACCACGTACGGCCGACAAGGCCTGGTCTTCACTGAGACAGAAACACCACGTACGGCCGACAAGGCCTGGTCTTCACTGAGACAGAAATACGATGGCGGCCGACAAGGCTTGGTCTTCACTGAGACAGAAACACCACGTACGGCCGACAAGGCCTGGTCTTCACTGAGACAGAAACACCACGTACGGACGACAAGGCTTGGTCTTCACTGATACAGAAACACCATGGCGGCCGACAAGGCTTGGTCTTCACTGAGACAGACACAACATGGCGGCCGGCAAGGCTTGGTCTTCAATGGAGCAAATGCACCATGGCGGCTAAGAAGGCCTGGTCTTCACTGAGACAAACACACAATGGCCTACGACAAGGCTCAGACTTCACTGAGACAAACAAACAATAATAATAATAATAATAATAATAATAATAATAATAATAATAATAATAATAATAATAATAAAAATAAAAATAATAATAATAATAAAAATAAAAATAATAATAATAATAATAATAATAATAATAATAATAATAATAATAATAATAATAATAATAATAATAATAATAATAATAATAATAATAATAATAATAATAATAATAATAATAAGGCTTGGTCTCAGCAGGTTCTAGACCTGCATTATTCTGGACCTGAATCTTCTAAATGCATGTAGCCAATTCAGGAAAAATAATAAAAGGTTTTGATTGATGTTTAAAGACTACGACCGATGTTTATAGTTTAAGAATTTCGACTGATATTCGTACTCAATGAGAAATGAGATCGTTTTAAATAGTCGAAAATTGGATAGAATACTTTGACTACATTTGGGCATATCATAAGCTAATCATACAGCTGAATTTTTAGAAGCGTAATAAATTATTGTACGTGAAAATTTTCCCCCAGAATCTTATCATCGCCAAAATATCATTTTGGAAGTTGGCATTCATATATCGGAGATGTTTGTTTTACCCTTCTTGATGAGTGTTTGGAATGCAACATGCTTTTCTTCACCTGTGAGAATACGAATAATTGCAAAGCAGCTCTTTGCCAAACTAAAGAACACGCTACAAATATCTGACGGCTATCAGAACTGGTACGACACAGTTAGATGACTAAACATGGAACAAACATCAATAAGGCTTTCAACATGGTACATCAATGCTACAGATAGTATTTATACGATCTGTATGCGGCTGGTCTTGGTCTTTCATTAAACAGTTTTGGCAAGAAACTAACTGGTCGTATTTGCTACCTTATTAACTAACATTCATCCTTAGGCCAGCATACTTAAAATTGGGGTAGGGATGGGGTGAATTTCTCAGATGTGACGTAACTTTTATGTTTCGAGTCAAATCTAAATATATAAGTCAAACCAAATTATTTCTTTCTTGGAATTTAACTAATACAAGTTATTTATTGCACCCAATACTGTAAGATATCAAGTATGAATGGAATCTAAAACAATTTAGGAATATGCCAAGTTCCATTACGTCACAGAAAAAAATATCACACTAGGACTTTAGTGAAAACAAGTAAATAGTTTAATTATGATCGTAAGACGTAATTACGCAATGAACATTAAAATCGAATGCCAGATTAATCTTATAAGATAAATTGCATATGTAAATTTGTACAGTGTAATAATTACATTATGAGGTATTTGCTATTGTTATGAAGTACATTATAGTAAATTACATTATGTTGTATTTCCTGTGTAATCATGTACATTAAAAATTTACATTATGTGGTATATCCCATGACAAATAAATTGATCACAAGATCATTTGAACAGTAAATAGCTAATTTTCTCGAATACGTTTATGCTATTTACTATCAGAGCAACATCTGCATCAGATTAGAACCGAAATAAAATTATATTATATTATATTATATTATATTATATTATATTATATTATATTATATTATATTATATTATATTATATTATATTATATTATATTATATTATATTATATTATATTATATTATATTATATTATATTATATAACATTACATTACATTACATTACATACATTACATACATTACATTACATTATGTTATGTTATGTTATGTTATGTTATGTTATGTTATGTTATGTTATGTTATGTTATGTTATGTTATGTTATTTCATGTCATGTCATGTCATGTCATGTCATGTCATGTCATGTCATGTCATGTCATGTCATGTTATGTTATGTTATGTTATGTTATGTTATGTTATGTTATGTTATGTACATATTATATTATATTATATTATATTATATTATATTATATTATATTATATTATATTATATTATATTATATTATATTATATTATATTATATTATATTATATTATATTATATTATATTATATTATATTATATTATATTATATATGTTATGTTATGTTATGTTATGTTATGTTATGTTATGTTATGTTATGTTATGTTATGTTATGTTATGTTATGTTATGTTATGTTATGTTATGTTATGTTATGTGATGTGATGTGATGTGATGTGATGTGATGTGATGTGATGTGATGTGATGTGATGTGATGTGATGTGATGTGATGTGATGTCATGTCATGTCATGTCATGTCATGTCATGTCATGTCATGTCATGCCATGCCATGCCATGCCATGCCATGCCATGTCACGCCATGTCATGTCATGTCATGTCATGTCATCTCATGTCATGCCATGCCATGCCATGCCATGCCATGTCATGTCATGTCATGTCATGTCATGTCATGTCATGTCATGTCATGTCATGTCATGTCATGTCATGTCATGTCATGTCATGTTACGTTACGTTACGTTATTTACTTTACATTACATTAATTTATATTATATTTTATAATATTATATTATATTATATTATATTATATTATATTATATTATATTATATTATATTATATTATATTATATTATATTATATTATATTATATTATATTATATTATATTATATTATATTATATTATATTATATTATATTATATTATATTATATTATATTGTATTAGGTTCAATACTGGATCCTATGAGACAAAGTAATACCAATGTCCCATATTTGTCAAACAATTAAATGCAAATACAATTAGCCAGCTATGTATAAACACAAATGTTTTTTCATGCTTTTTGTCTTACTAAATTGATTATCTGATTGCTTTTCCACATTTGGACTAGGAACGCGCGTGATGTGTCAGGAAAATAGGATTAATCTGTGTCGTAACTAAGAACGATGTTTACAAGTCATATTCAAGTTTCCAACCGTTTTGATTTTCCTTCGCTCTTACATGTGCTCTGGAATTATTCACTTAAATTAATATTAATCAATATAGCTTGATGGTCTGTATAGGTCATTGATATAATGTGTGCTAATTATTTTGACTGACATCAGATTAGAAATGAAAGGGATTTGTGGCGTGCAATACATGGTTGGTTTATTGAACACACATGCACGCACGCACACACATTATTATATAGTTACATAGGTACATAACCGATCCGTTGTCCGAGTGGTTAGAGCGTCTACCTCGGATGCGGGAGGTCGTGGGTTCGAACCCCGGCTGAGTCATTCCAAAGACTTACAAAAATGGTACTAACAGATGCCTCGCTTGGCGCTCAGCATTAGGAGGTTAGTGTTATGACTGGTTGGTCTGGTGTCCAGATAATGTGACTGGGTGTGACATCATGACACATGTATGCGGCATGATGGCCCAGTGCTAGACAACTTCAACTGTCACACTGCAGACATTGTAGCGATATGACTGTAAAACTGTGAAAACTACGTTAAAAATCTAAATCACACACATACATACATACATACATACATACATACATACATACATACATACATACATACATACATACATACATACATACATACATACATACATACATACATACATACATACATACGTATACATACATACATACATACATACATACATACATACATACATACATACATACATACATACATACATACGTACGTACGTACGTACGTACGTACGTTCATACATACATACATACATACATACATACATACATACATACATACATACATACATACATACATACATACATACATACATACATACATACATACATACATACATACATACATACATACATACATACATACATACATACATACATACATACATACATACATACATACATGCATACATATGTGTTGCATATTGGATTATTGAATGACTCTGGGGACTCCAGTGGCAGATCCCGAAAGCTTTACCCCACTCTCAGATAGTTACCGTATCGGCAGTTTTTGTGCCGAGCTAATGACTTTACACAGATACGTTTAGAAATATCTATAATTACGGACAGACGGACAGACGTACAGAAATACAGAGGTTATCTTACATCGGTTATTACAAGGAATGAGTAAAAAATATGAAGTTTGATTGATTGCCTTTTCTAGCGTAAAAATAATTTGTATTGTTTTTTTTAATAATATTTACTTTCTCTATTTGGCACTGCTATAAATAGAAAACATCTGACAAAAATAAATTCTGGCTTATGTAAAATGTTTAATAGCTTTCAAAGGTTTGTGTATCAATTACATTATCGATTTCATGATCTACATTGGCTACCAAAAAAAACCTTATCATGCACACATTGCTTGCTATAAAGCTATCCAGCACCGGTGGATGAATTCTAATTAACTAATAGGTTAATTAAAGAGATTATGTATTTTAACAAATATCCCTTTGTTTAGTTTATAAAATATCAGAGTTGACAGTTCATAATTTTGTAAGGAATTATCCACAGAAATGGTCAAGTAATTATAAAGAAGCCAAAGAACAGTATAAGAATGTGCTTACTGTACCAGTTTATTAACCCTAATTAAACCAGGGATGTTCCATATAAATGCGTCTTTGTACGAAGAACCAAATTACTTTCTGTAAAGTTAGTACAGTGCAGTATATTTAGGCTTAATAATTATAGGCTACTGCATTTGAATCAGAAAACACGAACGAGTTTTTCAGATGGATATACTGCACGACTTTGGGTTTTTATATTTCCATACAAATGCAGTAACCTATGCTCATTTTCTTATTCTACCTAAGGCTTAATTACATGAACAAAAATACACTGCAAGAAACAAAGTAACTGAATGAATGACGTATTCCAAACTAAATACAGATTCATCATTACACAACAACATTATTAGTGCGCACATAACTCCACCAAGATAGATTAGAACATGGTCGCGCTCTCGACATACGTTTCGAAAGAAAATAGCGTTTTAGTCTACTTGAAATTGGGAGTCATTTTGTAAATGAATGCGCACAGCAACAACTGTTCCATTTGAACTGGAATGAATAGAGTTTGGTATTTGTTGTCGATTTGACGAAAGTTTGTGATTATATTATCAGATTTCAGCAGTGTTTGTGTCTGTTCTACATGAAATACATGAAATACATCGGATTTCGGCAGCGAGAGAGAAGCATCTTGACATCTGTAAATGTGTTTCTCTTCTGTCATTCAATTTTTGTAATCATAATGTGGGAAAAATATGAAGTCTTTCAATAGCAATTATCAAAAGACGCTATGGAATTTAATGTTTATTTCATTTTGAGTGCAGTAAGGAGGACGTAATTGCACTTGGAATATGCTCGAAATTACAGCACAATTTCGAACTGTGATCAACCATGAGAACCCATGACATGGCTCATGTAATTCGGATTTGCAGAACTAAGAAATTACGTTTGAGGAAATTCAGGATGTAAAACTGTTTGAATACGTTTGGTCATTCTTATTACCAGCTGAAGCAGACAGTTTATACCTTGTTACTTTCATGCTATTTATAAGGACCCTGTCTAGCGTCTGTAGATAGCCTAAAATAAAAATATTTGTATCCAAAAAGTTAACGCGGAATGTGCCAAAACAGTTGATAAGTGGCAATCCATGAAACATCTGCTTTAGTTCATTCAGAAACAAATTGTTTACAATAGAAAGTAGTTCCTTTATTCACGTGAATGTAATATGAATTGAGCACGCAAGTACAATATTGAAAAATACTGAACGATTCTGACAATGTAAAGTTAACGGAGAAATAAATGAGCATACAATAATTATGTTTACGGCAATTCTTAAATGTAATAAGCTACTGTAAATTGAATACAGTATTTAAAGTTATTACATTTACGGTTTTGATTGGGTCGAAGATTAATGTAGTAAACAACGTAATTGTAATAATGGTAATGCAGTTTATATAACGTTACCTCGGTAACAAAGCTAAATGGATCCTATCACTTTCATTGTTTTCAGGAATAACTGCACATTCAAAAAGCTCTCGCATATGAGAAATTTTGGGTACATGTGTACTTATTACATTTATGGGAGTAGCAAGATACATTTTTAATTACATTTATGGGAGTAGTAAGATACGTTTTTGTTATATTTATGCGAGTTGTACGAAATGCTTTCATTACATCTATGGGAGTAGTAAGATACGTTTTAGTAATGTGAGTATCAAGATACGTTTTAATTGCACTTATGAGAGTAGTAAGATATATTTGTATTACATTTATGGAGTAGTAAGATAGGTTGTTATTTCATTTATGTCAGTAATAAGATACGTTTTTATGACATGTATGGAGTAGTAACTTATTTTTATTACATTCATGTGAGAAACAAAATACGTTTTAAGCACTATCGCTCAGTTTGTTGCTCCATTCATGGGTTTCGAAGCTGAGTCAAATTTTAATTCAAGTAAACATTACATCATGTGAATATGTGTCGTGTTTCTCTAAAAGGAGTACTGACATAATACTTGATTAACTAGTGAAACAAACATGACCATTGTTTACCGGTTCTATATGCAATGTAAATGAATCATTGAACCGTCTTTATGTTTTAGTAATTACGTATATAAGATAATTAGTACTTAGTATTAGGCATTCTTAGTAGTATTACCAGACTTGCAATTTATTCATCTCCAATGTCAGGATTAATTCATTTATTTAATTACTATTTGTCATAATTATTGTGCTCTTAACACTCATTAAATGGTATCTGGGTATATAATAGGTGTACGGAATTAGTGTGAAACATTCAAAGACAATATGATTTATTGGAATTACCGTGAATTCGTTTCAAGACATTCTGGGATTATTATATAGTAATTCTTTTGTATTGTTAATAAATTATTACAATACAGGTTATCATTTGGAATACTTTCGGAGCCCATTCAGATTACTCGAAACTACTGGAATTGAGAGAACATTTAGGATTATATAAATTCGTTCACTATATTGTAAGCTTCCATTTTTAATTCCTATTTTAGGGAAATAAATTCATATTTCAATCATACAAAACTTGTTGGTTTTATTCTTTCTTGTTACTTATTTTAAATCTTCTGATTTAAATCTACCTTAAGCCTACATCTAGCCTTTTTGATTGCTTTTCAGTCCCTGAGGCCTGTGCTAGACTTAGTACAGATATTATCTCTGAATATAATGTTTCATGGATTTTGACTTTCTTCTCCACTGGTATGAGATTTACAAGTACTGTTTACAAATATATGTAAAAAATGAGCGGGTCTTTTCATTTTTGCATCGAGGCAAGTCCTTTTCTAATAATTTCTTAAAGACTTATTTTTTTTGCGATAAATACATGCAGCAATATGGACTGGTGGCAACTGAGAAGTGTGGTGGGGTGAAGAAAATATGTATTTCCTGTAAAATGGAGACCGGAATTACCACTCAACAACCCCACCACATTGAAATAGTGCCTTAAGCAGTTATTCTCTTTTTATCGAATGAAGTTACTTTCGTAACTAATCATGTCCATAAATTTCTTTTAAGCTGCACTTTAACATTTTCGGACTTAATGGCGTTTCCTTCAAACTAAGTTTTATTTTCAATTTTACAACGTCATCAGCAAGCCTGGATTAACTAGAAAAAGTGTTGTATACCCCAAAATCATACCTTATTTTGATATTTGCAACACAGCAAACAGTCTAATTGCTTTCTAACTGCGCGATCAATGTTTTAGGTCATGAACTTTTTCTACCTGTTAGAATATTCCGAATAAAATAGTATCTGTTTCGCAAATAACTGAGTAATTTAATAACTTGGTAGCCGGGGACGTGAAAGAAATTGATCTAGCAAATATTTGCCCAGTATTTATCGGCTAGACGCAGAAGGTATATTCCCAGCTGAGTATGGATTCCCAGCCAGTGTATGGATTTCTTGCACTCTTAAAATTCTTTGCTACTTAAAATATAGTCCAACAAAGTTATTAACATCCATATCTTCGACACAGTGTCAATATATGATTTGATAACGAAATTTATCATGGTATCGGTGTTGTATCGCGGAGACGCTCCCATTTCGTCAATGAATAAAAATAAAAAAAGAGGTCAATATATGCGTATCAAGTCACTAAAATGGACGTGCGATAGTTAGACCGGACTTTCTTTTTGCTTTGTGCGTTTGTAAATCCCGTATAGAATTCAAGTTTAAAATCATAAACACCAGCTATACTTGGAGACATTTTGAAAATCATTAAAATTTACTAGAAAACTAGTAGTTCGGAGCAAAAGTA